CCTGGTCTCCTGTGTGCATATTAAGTACCCCACTACTTGAGCCATGAATTGCTACTTCCCTGGGTACATATTAACAGGAAGTTGAAAATGGAAATGGAGTCAGGACTTGAACCTAGGCACTCTAGTATGGGATATGAGTATCCTAAGTGGTGTTTTAACACTATGCACACTCCCCCCCCCTTAAAATATTTATTAGATAGATGGGGGTTGGGGAGAGGGAGAAAGAGAGCAAAAACCAACCTGCACTCATTTGCCAGTTCATTCCTCAAATGTCCACAAAGCTGTGGTTGGGACTGGCAGGTAGGCAGGAACTCAGTTTAGATCTCCCATGTGGGTAGCAGGAACTCAATTACTTGAATTATCACTAGTACTTTCCAGGATCTTCATTGACAGGAAGCTGGAGTCAGAAGCCAAGGGTAAAATCCAGGAACTCTGGTGAGAAATGTAGGTGTCACAGATGGTGTCTTAACCACCAGACTAAATGCCCATTCTCCTTTTCCTTTCTTCCCTCCTTCCCTCCCTCCCTCCCTTCCTTTCTTCTTCTCCTTCTCCCCCTCTCCTCCTCCCCCTCCTCCTTCTTTCTCTCTCTCTCCCTCCCTCTCTTTCTTTCTCTCTCTCTCTCTCAAGATTGATTTGAAAGGTAGAATTATGGGAGCAGAGGTGATAATATCTTCTATCTGCTAGTACACTCCCCAAATGCCCACAACAGCCAGGGGTAGGCGAGACTGAAGCCAGGAGGCAGGAACTCCACCCAGGTCTCTGCTGTGGGCAGCAGGAGCCCAGGTACTTGGATCATCTGCCACTGCCTTCCAGACCCATGAGCAGGAAGCTGGACTGGAAGTAGAGAATAACCAGGACTTGAGCTGGTACTCTGATCTGGGATGTGGGCTTCCCAAGCAATAGCTTAGCATGCTGTGCTACAACTCCTACCTCATCCTCTGTTTTATGTATCCTTTTCAATGAGCACATGCAAGTGGTAGTTACCACTATTGAAAAAAAAATTTTTTTTGACAGGCAGAGTGGATAGTGAGAGAGAGAGACAGAGAGAAAGGTCTTCCTTTTGCCGTTGGTTCACCCTCCAATGGCCGCCACGGCTGGCGCGCTGCGGCCGGCGCACCGCGCTGATCCGAAGGCAGGAGCCAGGTGCTTCTCCTGGTCTCCCGTGCGGGTGCAGGGCCCAAGCACTTGGGCCATCCTCCACTGCACTCCCTGGCCACAGCAGAGAGCTGGCCTGGAAGAGGGGCAACCGAGACAGAATCCGGCGCCCTGACCAGGACTAGAACCTGGTGTGCCGGCGCCGCCAGTTGGAGGATTAGCCTATTGAGCTGCGGCGCCAGCCCACTATTGAAATATTAATATTGGGATTTGAAGGATGCAAGATAAGTATTCATGGAAAGTGTGGAAAAGCAGAAAAGTTTCTATTACCCCATTCTTTTAGCGAAGTTATTATTATGTAAATATATTTCCCCTTAGGCTTTTTTTGGGTAAATTATTTTGTATACAAACAGATCTCATTTCTACCACTGATATTTCCAAAGTATATATTGTTTTCAGAATATTTTTACTTTCTTTGCAATGCTGTAGATTTTACTATTTGAGACAGACAGTCCCTGATCTTAAAAGTTTCTCTTGGAATGTTAGTGCTATGCAATGAAAATTAACTTTGCTATGAAATTTAGGAAGTAATTTGAGGTATTTGGTTATGGATCTAAGAGACCCCAAATCGTATTCTTAATGGGTCACCTTTCCCACTGACATGTCCTGACTCTATGCAGGAAAAGATTAAGACCAGGAAATGCACATTACCCGCTAGCGTGTTGGTCCCATTCTTAATGTAACATTGTGATGTGCTAGGACTAACATAAGCAGGACTCCTTTGCCTGTGTCAGGTGAGTTCATGTAGCTTGAAAATAAGTCATTTATTGTCTGCTTTATTCATTCTACATTAGTTAGAATCTAGAAGGGAGTTGTGGATTTTCTATTCCTATAGGAATAGCAGCCACAACGGCACGAACCAGGTAGCAATCTGTACCAGAGTCTAGGATAGGAAACCCTCGCTGGGAAACTTGCTCCCAACGGCTGATGTCACCCTGTAAGGGGGAGAAACGACTGGCTCCTGGCTCTTTCTCTCACTGTGCCTTTCAATGGTAGGCCTTGAACCTTTTGGTAGACTAGGAAGGAAAGGGCACAAAGCTGCAATAATTCAGAAAGAAGAAGATAGTGAAGTTAATGTTTGGGTTGCTGATATTTTAAGCACATTCTATTCCATTTTAAAATGTAGGGTAATCAACTTGGATTGTGAGCAGTAAATTTAATACGTCATGTAGACCACTACTTTTGTGTGTGTGTGTGTGGGGGGGACTACACTATCTTCCCTAGAATATCTCCAAACTAGAATGAGTCTTTCTTAGTAAATTGTCCCCATGGAAAAGAGAGCATGTTACTTTCCTATAAAATTGAATGTTTAAGAAGCATAGTATTTGGTAGTGTTGATGGGGTGGATAGAAAAATGACATGCTTTAATGGGCTGGGCCTTTAACCTGTGCAAATAACAACAGCTAAAATACTAGGAGGAGCATTATATAACATTTTTAAAATAAGGAAGCTTCCTTGAGCAATTTAGAAATAATTCTCTTTTTTAAAGATTTATTTATTTATCTGAAAGTCAGAGTTACACAGAGGGAGGAGAGGCAGAGAGAGAAAGAAAGAGATCTTCCATCCAATGGTTCACTCCCCAGATGGCTGCAACGGCCGGAGCTATGTCATTCTGAAGCCAGGAGCTTCTTGCAGGTCTCCCACGTGGGTGCAGGGGCGCAAGGACTTGGGCCATCTTCCACTGCTTTCCCAGGCCATAGCAGAGAGCTGGATGGGAAGTGAGGCAGCTGGGACTAGAACCAGCACTTCAGGCCAGGACATTAACCCGCTGTGCCACAGTGCTGGCCCCAGAAATAATTTCTAATATTCATATACAATAACCTGGATAACAGTAAGCCAGTTATGATTTTTATTTTTTAATATGAACTCTTAGTATGGATAGAGTTGAATTTTCCAAGGTCCAGTTTAGTGGTAGTGCTGAGTAAGGAAAGAAAGCTACTTCCAGATGAGAGCTACGTCTTGTAGCATGGTCTTCTTTTTGGGAATTGGCAGTTCACATCTTAGAAATTAAAATCAGAATTTGGAGAAATAATAGGATATTTAGTTCATATTATCCAAACTACAGGATACATGAAGAATCCTAATTGTAAAGATGACTCTTCAATGAATTGATGAGTTCAATCAAGACATGTGGATGTGATAAATAAAAAAATGCAAAAATAAGAAACATTTTCCACATCTAAGTTTTAAATCTATGTGTATTTATTTTTGGCATGTGCCATAAAATGAGGTATAATTTTCAGCCAAGTGCCTCAGCACACTTTTTGAACAATCCTTTCCTTTATCTCCACTTCAATGCTGTCATTATAACTCATTTTATTTTCTCTCAGTCTACCTATTGACTCTAGCAGCAGTATTTTTTGCTCTGATTCTTATATCCGAGTAAATTTTAATTATCTGATTATTTCTCTTTTGAGGCACTCATGCTCCCTCATTTCAAGTTTTTGTCTAATCTATCCTGCTTGTTATTTTAATGAGTTGAGAATTACTTTCCAAAGTTCAAAATATCTTGTTTAGATTTTTGCATTGGCACTAACCCAACATAGTATGTTAAGAATACCTTATGTAATTAAAATACTCAGACTTCCCAGCACAAAACATTAAGTATTTAGTTCAGTCTTTCTTTTATGTCCTTCAGTAAAATTTAACAAATATTCATATAATTTAGTATATTTCTTATTATATTTATGCTTAGATAGTCTTAAAAATCATAAATGAAATTTCAAATTTTATTTTTTATTGGGCCATCATGGTATAAAGCAATTTATTGGCTCACATATATGTATGTATGTTCTGAGTTTTCTAGGTTGATAACCAAATCTACAAATGATAGTGATATTCCAGAGGTGTTTCTGCTTTATTATTTTATTTTTTTCAAAGAACCTTGGTTATGGCTTTTCTAAATGTTCTAATTTATTATTTCCAGTTTTTATTTTCATTGTTGTACCCACATTCTTTGCAATGCTCCTGTTCTTGGTTTCTGAGAATATCTATACTGTTCATCTACCCGACTTCAGTTGTTTAGGGCCTTCCCCTCCTACAAGTGAGCCAACAATCTGTCATTGGCCCCCTCTCCACGGTTCCTGTTAGCCTGGCTTTGGGTAATGATCTCTAGAGTTTTCGAGACCTCAAAATCTACCTGTTATCCAAGTATCTGGCTGTGCTAAATAACAAAAGTTTTATTATTATTATTATTGTAGTTAAATACTCAAATTTACCTTCTTAACCATTCTGAAGTGAACAGTAAATGACATGTTTTACGATGCCTTTGGTTAGGACCAAGACTTCATCAGGTGATTTAGAGTCCCTGTTTTATGAGTTATCCTTAATTGTTCCAATTTATTCCTAATCAGTGGTCCAGCCCTTACCCGTTTTACTTTATTTCTTTTAAAAACTCTCTCCGTGGCCCCGCAACTCAAGCTAGAGGCTCCCACCGTAGTTCTTTCTTCCACTCAGTATTACAACCCCATCGAGCTTCTCTGAGCTACAAAATTTGTGTATTTTCTGGTAGATCACAGGAAGAAGTAGGAACACCTGGCATTTAAGGCCTCTCCTCTGGAGGCTGCCATCTCGCTCTCTCCCTCCTCTCTCCTGAGCTGGGCAGGGCTGGGAGGTGCCTGGGACTCCCGGGGAAAGAGAGGGTCACACAGCTGCCCAGCCAGGAGCTGGGATTTGGCCCTTGCATTACCAGAGGCTTTAATTTTCCCTTTTTTCTCAGAGAAACTGCAAATGGAGGGTTGAGGGGGAAGGCGGGTGGCACTCTGAGTCACACTTGATTTGCATTTTTATCCCAACAAGCACCACGTGAGTTGGACAGACACCAATAAAAGTCCTATATTTTATAGGTCAAATCTTTCAAGATGTCCATGATCCCGAAGCACTTTGGACTGAAAACCAGAGAAGAATCGTACATGTTTAAAGAGCTTGAGAAGCTTCGCCAAGAGACTAAAAAGGATTTTCTCCGATCCAGGCAGAAGTTGGAATCCAAGCCGATTTTAGATGAAGGCCCCATTCGCCTCCTCCAGGCTCCGGGCTGGGGCCGTCCGGCGGACAAGAAGCGCGATTCCTCCCCTCGACCCGGAGGGTTGCAAGCTTCCCCTTCGCCCAGGGGCCCCGGGGCCTCCGAGGCGGCCCTCGAGCCGGAGACGCACGCCTGCACGGCGCGCCCCTGGGGCCTGGGCCACGCAGCCGCTCGGCCGAAGCCCCGAGCGTTTCGCCCCCGGGAATTCTACTTGCGGAGCTCGGCGTTCCGCCGCTACCCTCTCCAGAAGCCACCGGTTATCGCCGCCAGGGTGGGCACCTCCAAGCCCTTGGTGCTGCTGCCGCCGCCCGCGCCGCCGGTGAGGCCGAGAGCGCTCCCGGAGGCGGGGAGCCCGCGGCCCTCTGCGTCCAGGCAGGGCCTCGAGCTGGCGCGGGCCCACGAGGTCACCGAGGAGGTAGCTCGGCCCGCAGAGACGCGCAGGGCCAAAGCCAGGAAGACCAGCTCCCTTTCCAGCGAGGACAGCGACCTGGGCCCGGGCGGCCGGTGGAAGCAGTTGATGGTCACCACCCACTTCGTGCGCCGGCTGTCGGTTGGCGAGGCTGGGGAAGCGGCTGGGTCCGTGCTCAGAGCCCAGCGCCCGAGCCGCCTATCCAGCGAGGCGCAGGACGCCGCCTGGCTGTCCCTGCCGCCCCGGCGAGCGCCCCCCAAGTCCTTCAAGGAGGTCCTCACCTCGCTGCAGTCCGAGGCCCAGCAGGCTTCCGACCAGATCATCAAAGAGCTCATCCAGAGCATCCTTGGCCCGAACTACGACTTTAAAATGGAAGTAGGTGAACTAGTGCCGGTAATGTTTCTCCTGGGTAAATGTACGTCCTGTTAGGATCGTATAGAGTTCCTTCTGCGTAATGTTTCAGCGCACACGAGGCGTTTTAACACACAGCACTGTGGCTGGTGTTCAGCTTCCTTGCATTCTTTAGAATTTTTGACTTTTCCAACAACAAGGGAGTGTCTCCTGCTTTCAAAGTAAAGAAACTCCTTGGTTTCAAGGACATGAACTAGTTTGCAGAAAAGCAAGGATTGAAAGAAGTTTATTTTGGTACAGGACATTTGAAGTCCATAGGTAGTTTTTTTTTTTTTTTTTTTCAGAATATACATTCTATGAACTTCTTGAAGACCTCTTATACATCCTTAGTATCTTTCTCTTTCAAAGGCTTTGTGGTGATTTAATCTTGAAATAACAGAATAGGCATTATAAAAATTCAATCCTTTTCAGTTACAGTCATCATTGTTAGTAGTGAATTACAGTAAAAGTGAATGTATATTCCAAGAATAGTGTCATACTATTAACAAATTTAATTTACAACAATTCTGAAATATTTTCAGTGAAAACCATTTTTTTGAAATGTTTAAAAGTATTTTTTTTCCCTAGAGACTTATAAATGCTTCTAGCACTGTAAAGCCTTTAAGTGCCTTTTTGTCCCAACAACAACCACACGATGTAAGTAGATACCAGTAGAATCCTATTTTACATAGCAGGCCTTCTTGCTTTAGTGGTGCTAAAGGATTTGCAGAGTGCACCACATTAGATGCATGGTAGATTTGGGATTCCACCCCAGGTAGTCTAATCCCAGAGACTGCTCTGGAATCATGCCCAGATTTCAACAATTTGCACACACACACACACACAATCTGTTTGAGAACAAGTTGTACAGTTAATTCTCATAATGCAACTCTTTGATGACAGAGGTCCTGCATGGGGAGTAAGTGCCAATGACTCCTGTTAATTTAACAATTAGCACTCTTCTGCATGAAGTCAGTAATCATCCGGGGCTTTTGACATGAGCTGCTATTGCTATGGAAGCCTTCTGAATCCACAATCTCTATCAGTATTTAGACAGGGCCCTAAACAAAATGGAAGTTCTCTCCTCCCTTCAGAGAAAAGTACATCCTTCTTTCTTGGCCACTTCTTTCCACTGGGGTCTCACCCACCGAGATCCTTCTTGTAGGACATTTTTTTTTTTTACCACAGTGTCTTGGCTTTCTGGCATGTACATTTCAAATAAAAATACAAGCAGGGCAACTTGAGCCCCACACTCAAAGAAAGAAAGGAGACATCCAGTGTTCTAGGAGAATGACAGTAGGAGGGAAGGAGATTCTATTACTTTCTTGGCTGCAACTCCAACTCTCTTGTTAGTACACAGAAGACTGCTGCCACATTATGTCTTTAAAATAGTTTCAGCTGCAGAACACAGTCTTGGCTGTGATCTAAGGAATGTGATCATAATGGGAAACAAAAACACGTATGAACAAGAGTCCCCACTGTTGTTTGACCTGATGTTTATGGGCAGAGTCTTACAAATGCTCTGAGTTAAGACCCACCCTTCTCTCCCTGGTTGCTGAGCAAGATTGGTGTGACTGCTCAAGCCGTTCCAAAATGGGTGTTTTCAACTTCTGTGAAACTACGAGACAGAGTCATCAGGGATGCCCACTGAAGAGCCTTACCAAAGAGGAGAAGGGTTTAAGTGCCCTGGGATGGACCCCATACATTATGACATAGTTAAGATACTTGGAAGTGAAGAGGAGCCAATATTAGGAACTGGATAAGAGGTCTTGAATAGTTGAGGAATGTAGTATGTCAACCTGTAAGAAGGAGTACATTTTAAAGGGCTCAAGTGGAATTGGGGAATAAATGAAGGGAGAGTATCAAATGACTGGTGTACATTAGAACAGTGATTTCTGTTTTTCTACCAATAATACTCATTTCTCTTGTGGATGCCATTTCTCTGGTGCTTCTGTTACCTGAATTACTGTATATAGGAGAGTGGTGTGGATCATGGAGTGTTAGGATCAGGAGCCAGGAGCCCTAGCTGTGTGCTGCATGGCTTGGGCAGTATCAAATGTCTTAATCCCAATCCGGCCTTCCATTGCCTTGATTTTTTTTTTTTTACTACAGTTTGGATTTTATTTGTGCTTTTTAAAATTTTGCTTCTCCTCGACTCCCAACAATTCCCTGAAAACTGAGCTTGTATTATTTTGAGTAAAAATAGTTTCAGAAATTTTATTAGAGTGAGAAAGGAGCAGTGGGTGGGTATATGAGAGTGATAAATGTAAAAGTAGTATCTGAATTATGATTTTAAAATTCTTTTTTTTAAAGATTATTTATTTGAAAGAGTTACAGAGAGAGATACAAGTCTTCCATTTGCTGGTTCATTCCTTAAATGGCTGCAATGGCTGGAGCTGAGCCAGTCTGAAACCAGGAGCCAGGAACCTTTTCTGGTGTCCTACATGGGTACAGGGGCCTAAGGACTTGGGCCATCCTCTGCTGTTTTCCCAGGTGCATTAGCAGGGAGCTGGATAGGAAGTGGAACCGGTGCCTGTATGGGATGCCAGTGCTGCAGGTCGGGGCTTTAACCAGCTGTGCCACAGTGTCGGGCCAATTTTATAATTCTTAACATGGGAATATTATTATTTGTTTTTAAAATTTGAGGGCATAGGGGCTGGCACTGTGGCTCACTTGGTTAATCCTCCACCTGCGGTGCTGGCATCCCATATGGGCACCAGGTTCTAGTCCCGGTTGCTCCTCTTCCAGTCCAGCTCTCTGCTGTGGCCCAGGAGGACAGTGGAAGATGGCCCAAGTGCTTGGGCCCCTGCACCCACATGGGAGACCCGGAGGAAGCACCTGGCTCCTAGCTTCGGATCAGCGCATCACCAGCCGTAGTGGCCATTTGGGGAGTGAACCAAAGGAAGGAAGACCTTTCTCTCTCTCTCACTCTCTCTCTCTCTCTCTCACTGTCTGTAACTCTACCTGTCAAATAAAAAAAAAAAGGAAAAAAAGAAAATTAAAAAAAAAATTTGAAGGCATATATAAATGCCAAGGGAAAGCAAACATGGCTCCTTACTATAGAAATCTTAAATTGGAACCACTCAGCAATCCCGGAGAGAAAGTCAAAGAATAAGCCAATGGCTGAACTGTATCCATTAGAGCTTGGACAAGGCCAGTATAGACCCAACATTCAGAGTTCATACACAGTTACATGGGTCTGGGGGTATACAAATACTTGAAGACTAAACTTAGCAGTCAGGACTGGTGCTGTGACACAGCGTGTTGAAACCCTGGCCTCCAGCGCTGGCATCCCATACAGCTCCAATTCAAGTCCCGGCTGCCCCACTTCTGATCTAGCTCCCTGCTAATGCACGTAGGAAGGCAGCAGAGGATGGCCCAAGTGCTTGGGCACCTGCCCCAACGTGGGAGACCCAGAAGAAGTTCCTGGCTCCTGGCTTCAGATTGGCTCAGCTCTAGTCATTGCAGCCATTTGGGGAGTGAAGCAGTGCATGGAAGACCTCTGTCTCTACCTCTCTCTGTAACTCTGTCTTTCAAAAAATAAATCTGTTAACTTAGCAGTCAAATGTAGGTTTGACATCTAAACCAGGGTTTCTCAATGTTGGCGTTTTTGAAATTTTGTACTAAATAATTCTTCATTGTGGGTAACTGTCTTATGAATTGTAGGATAATTGAAAGCATCCTTGGCCCCGCCCACTAGATACCAGTAGCACCTCCCAAGTGTTTGATGACAAAAAATGTCTCTTGAGGTAGGCATTTGGCTTAGCAGTTAACTTGCCTGTTACGATGGTCAAATCTCCTATTGGAGTACTCGCGTTTAATCACAACTCTGGCTCCTGAACCTGTTTCTTTCTAATTTGGATCCTGGGCTGCAGTGATGATGGCTTAATTAGTTGGATTCCTTTCAATCCTGGAAGACCTGGATTGAGATCTTGACTTTGTTCTGGCTTAGCCCAGTACTAGCTATTGTAGACATATGGGTGAGAGAGCTTTCCCTGTCTCTCTGCCTCTCAAAAACAAAAACAAAACAAAACAAAAACGCTCTGTGTGTTGTCAAGTGAGTTGCTGGGGAAAGGGCAAAATTGCCTCATTCCCCTCCACTCAGGAAAGAACTGCTGACTTAAAGTCTGCATACACCATGGCAGGGGAGACAGGAATACTGTAAAGTCCTATGCTTCTTTTACTGAGAGTTTAATCTTATCATTCATCCTCAACTGCATTCTAATTATATAAGGCTGGCATTCAGAGATCACTTAACAGATGCCAACTGAGGATAAAGGAACCAGGGCATCCTTGCTTCCTTGTGTATGGTGGTTTTTGGTCCTATAGCTCAAATGAAAATTGGCTTCACATGACCTAGGTAAGACAGAATTCATGTTCAGAGGTGTCTTACAAGCAGTAATGCATAGTCCACAGGCAAATGTTACATCATAGAACTTATGCCTACTTTTACTTCAGGGAAGATGAAATAAATAAACTTTTCCCCATTCTTGCTAAGTACAAGCACTGCACATTATATTTAAAATAAACATGACAAGACTCTAAAAGGTAAATATCAGAAGACAGATTGAGTAAGGACTTTAGGACACAAAGAATGATGCAGTGATGATTTTACTGGGTTTTCCTTTTGCCTAATAACTCTCAGACCTGTAGCTAAGGAGTCTGTCAGACCTGTAGCTAAGGATGCCAGAGGGTACATAAAGATCAATAACAACAAAAAAATCCCCTCTTTAGTCAAAGGAACAGAAAGGGGGCAGCCTGGAAAGAAAGAGAACTTACTTTCTTTCTTTTTTTGTAAAGATTTATTTATTTGAAAGTCAGAGGTACCCAGAGGAGAGGCAGAGAGAGAGAGAGAGAGAGAGAGAGAGAGAGAGAGAGAGAGAGGCTTTTCATCCGCTGGTTCACTTCCCAACTGACCACAATGGCCAGAGCTATGCCAGTCAGGAGCCAGGATCCAGGAGCTTCCTCTGGGTCTCCCATGCGGGTGTGGGTGCCCTTTGGCC